TGAGTACCTAAAGTGTCTTTCAGCAAGCACCATTCTACCTAAGGACACTGGAGGTTCTCCAAGAACTCTAGTCTTGGGCCATTATAATAATATCCTAATGACAAATAAAATGTTCACTCATATTTGCAATAATACCTCAGAAGACAAGAAATTATCTTTTTCATTCAGTCGTGTTTACTGGTTAGTTTGATTTTGATGTTAACAAAAAAGTATTTCGTTGGCTGTAGCACTGTGCTCTCTGCTAATAGGAAATCAATCCATCTTTTTTCTAGCCACATAGACACTGTGTGTAAATTGCTTTCATAGAAATGTTCAATAATTTTAATTTTCAAGTTTCTATTGTAAAATGTACCCCTCCCTAAGTAATACAATTCACTGGATCTGTGTATCTTGTTTTCCTATTTTTTTTCCATCATTTTAGGTACCCTCTTTGTTTCCATAAATAATTAAACGTATTGTTATATTTTGGTGATTTTTGCAGATCCATATATTTTGAATATAAATTTGTTATGCAATAGTCCTTAACTTTTAATAATGAACAAGCTTAGCTTTTTTTCTTACCCTCACAGATTCTGATTTCACACTTAAAAAAAAACCCTTAATTGACCCAATCTGGGCTAGCGCCACTGAAGTTGTGATCCTGAGAGCTGCCCAGTCATGAGGCTTAGCCTACAGTCTGCGTCGCTATCTGCTTCTAAAGTGTAATGCTCTGAGGAGCACTGTTCCTGTATCTTGTATCTTTCTATCCTAATAGTCACAAGACCGTTGCCACTTCTCACTATTAAATGACTTACGGTGTCAGTTCACATTCAAATCATATGATCTGGAAGAAGTATCACCATGCAAAAATTACAATTTCTATGAATTTCATATTTTGTATAGGATATCAAGTAAGACATTGATAATTTTTCAAGACAATCTGAAATTCAATGTCTCATGGAATAATAAGATTTCTAATTCCAGTGCCAATTTAAAATGACCACTGGGTTCATTCAACTATGACAGATTGTTCTCTATTTTCAGGCACAAAATATAACTGTGTAATGAACATAAGAGGGCCATACAGATTTAGTAAAGACTTTATCAAGATATTGGTAACTATTGATATATTTTAACATATGAATCTCATAAAATGTAATAAAATTTTAAAAATCTAGATATGCCTTAGTAATTTTATCACCATCATTAATCATCAGTAAGTTATTTCAAAATAAAACAAATTTGTTTTCTTCTCCAAAGAAAATTTTGCTTGAAATGGTATAAACTTATAGGACACTGACTGTGCAAACTAAAATAGGTCTATCAGAAAAGGAGAATACTGAGTGATTTTACTTACCTACGGTAACTATAACACATTCATAGTAAAGAACACAAGAATAGGGACTGGAGAGATGGCTCAGTGGTTAAGAGCACACTGACTGCTCTTGCGGAAGACCCAGGTTTACTTCCCAGCACCCACATGGTGGCTAACTGCCATCCATAATTCCAGTTCTAGGGATCTGACACCCTCTCTGACTTCTGCGGGCATTACACGACACATGTACACTTAGACACATGCAGGTAATACACTTAGACACATATGATAGAAATAATGAATAAAAATATAAAACACCACAAGAATATTTGGCATAGTATAATAGGTGATAGAGACAGGAAGTAATTGTTCAATGGGTAAAAAACACATCCAAGGTAGGATGAATAGGTTATAAAGATGCTCTATTCAGCATAGTGTCTGTAATTAATAGTATAATGTAATGCACTAAAAATTAAGTATTTTGAACAAATAAAAAATATGGGCAACCAAAAACTACAACATAACACAAGAACCTTTGGGAGATGTTGAGAGATGTATTTACTTTTACCTTTTGTACCTTTACTGTGGTGGTGATGCCATCAGTGCTTAAATGTACTTGAATGGATCAAATTATTTTAAATACTTGAAGTGCACTGTCTATAATTTTTTCTTTGATATAATTGTTAAGAGACAAATACATTTTATTTCCTTTAAACCATTTATCTGTTTTTCTGACAACCCATTCATTTCTAAGACACATCAGGTAAAGGGACTCTAAGACAAGTGATACAGGAGAGGTATGTAATTCTCCACCAAAGTCAAACACATGCAAATACACAGGTGGTGTTAGAGCAAAATAGGAACTAGCTGCACTTAGAGGAAAGTATCAGAGTCAAATTCGTGGGAAGTTATTGATCTGGAAGGAGTCAGAGCTCCATAATTGCTATCAAAGCCACGGTGACTGGGTAAGAGGCAGGTAACGGGGCTTCTGGGAGGAGGACTAGTGTTTCAGGAGAGCGGTATAGCATAATACAGAATCCTTCAGATTGGTATCCAGGAGTCATAGAGTGGATCATATAGAAATTCTATTTTTTGCTTACTGAAAGAGTCTCATGCTTAAGTCCTTAGTGGATTCACCGCTTTACTCTTCCACAGCAATGGCACTGTCCCTCTCCTTGCATCGTAGCCAGCATTGGTTGTTGTCTGTTGTCATTATGGTAGCCATTCTAACAGGAGTAAGCCAGAAGTTCAAAATTATTTTGATTAGTATTTTCCTAATGGCTAAGGAGGTTAAACCTTAAAAAATATCTACTGGTCATTTGTATTTCTGCATTTGAGACCGCACTCTTCAGTAACAGTTTTTTTTTTTTTTAATTTGATTTTCAAGATTTTTGTTTTTTTAAGTCTCTCTCTCTCTCTCTCTCTCTCTCTCTCTCTCTCTCTTTCTCTCTCTTTCTCTCCCCCCAGGAGCCATCTGTTGCCACAGTTTCCTTAGGTGGTGTTGGAACTTCTTACTTACTTCATGTTTGTGCTAGGATTTTTTCTGTTTGAAGCTTGCAATTTCAAAGACAATGTTCGTTTTACTAATTTTGTGTTGTATCATATGGTTTTGAGATCTCATGTAAGACACATCACCAATTCTAAACTTGCTTCTTAGTGCCATTTGCTTGGAATATTTTTTCCATCTTTCCCCCCTAAGGTAAAGGTGAGATGAGCTTCTTGAAGATTAAAAAAAAAAAAGATGGATTTTTGTTTCTTAGTCCATTCCACTAACCTGTGTCTTTTGACTCGGGAGTTGAGGTCATTGATATATATATAAGGAGATAATTGAAAAATGTGTATTGGCTATTGCCATTTTAATTTGTTTGTGTTCTTGGTCCTACTTTCTGTTTCCATAATTATGCCTTCTTATTACTATCTTACTTTGTGTTACTTTGAGTATTCCCACACCCAGCTGCATAAATTGATCATTACCCTGTCTCAGTGCTGAGGATGTCCTGATGAGCAGGATGCAGAGTGCCTTCCTCTGGCTCCCTAGTGCTGGGATTAAAGGAATGCACCACCACAACTGGTGTCTCATGTTTCGTTTTCTTAATTTTCTTATAGCTCTTACATTTAGTTCTATGACAAATTTTGAATTAATTTTATTGATTTATAACAGAAAGCATTATATATTAATTAATACAATTAATTATACAGTTAACTATCTAATTATTCCAGTACTATATGTAAGCAGACCTAAATATCCTTAAACTATGTTGCATGAAAATCATAAAATTTCAGTAGAAAATATTATCAGTATTGACTTCAAACTGTAAATGTTTGAAGTGAGGAAATGTGTGGACTCGATCTTCATTTTCCCCTTTCAAGTTTGTTCTGGTTTTCTAGGCCCCACGCATTTTCATACGGATTTAATGTTTCCTGTATCATTGTCTGTAAGAACAGAGCTAAACTTCTGATAAGGATACTACTGACTGGTAGACTGAATTGGGATGCATATTCATTTTCACAATGTTGAATTTTTGATTCATAAACATGGAGTAGCTTTCAAATTATACAGCTCTTTGCTTCTTTTCAATATGATTGGGTTATTTTAATCATAACAGCATAATTTATTTTATTTAAATTACTCATAAATATTTATATGTTCTCAAATTAAATAGATTATATATGATTGTGGATTCATGCATGTGAATGTAGTTGCCAGGCAGGCTAGAGGATGGTGGCAGATTCCCTGGAACTGGAGATACAGGCAATTGTGCGCGGAGCATGTGTTCTAGGAACGAACGTGGGAATTCTGCAAGAGCAACACATGCTCTTAACCCTCGAGTCATCTCTCCAACCCCCAATTTTTTAAACTATGAGACTTATTTTTTTATTTTTATATTTTTATTGAATTTTTATGTGTTTCATATAAGACATCTTAATCATCTCTATAACCCCTCCCTTCTCCACACCCATTCATAGTACCCACCCCTTCCCCACACTGGATTTCATGCACTCTGTAATTTATGTCAAGGGCAATCAAGTCAAGCTGGAGTACCTAGGCATCCCTCAGGGAAAGTTCATCTACTGATAATTTTATGATTGTTGAGTTTATCTTTTGAACTTGTATTCTATCACATTTTTCACCATTTAAAATTAATTTAATAGTGTTCTTTTTTTCATGTAGATTACTTAACATTATCAAGAAAAGTTTGGTACTTACAAGTAGAGATGATACACTTTCTAATTTTACGCTTAGCAATATTTTGTTTTCAATTTCTTGCTTCATTACTCTAACTAGAAACTCCAATAGAATGTTGAATAAAGTGTTCACCGTTCTTTACTCCTTAGCAAGCAGTGAACGGTTTTCACTACTGTTGCTTGCAGTTTTCTGTTATTTCTTGATATTTTATACAGACTAGTAGTCTGTGTGTACAGAAGTTGGAAATACTATAAGAAATACACGAAAGCTATCTAGCAATCTCGCTCAGATTTATTGCATCTATAGTTCGAGGACACGTGAGCATATATATAGATATATCTACTTGATATTTGTTTACATGTCCCGTATTTTGAGATCGTTGACTGCTATCATACATGAGGAGCTGTCAGAGAACATCACATGTCTAGCTGAAAAGACTTACTTTTTTGTCATACCTTATTGTATAAAGAGAAAATAAATGTCTACCTCATTTTTTTTTTCCTCTCACTTTCTACATAGAGTTCCCAGAAGGAAATGGAAGAAGTAAACCATTCCACAGTGACTGAGTTCATCCTCGCTGGGTTGACAGACAAACCTGAGCTGCAGCTGCCCCTCTTCCTGCTCTTCCTCGGGATCTACGTGCTCACAGTGCTGGGGAACCTGGGCATGATCATCCTGATCCTGCTCAGCTCCCACCTGCACACCCCCATGTACTTCTTCCTCAGCAGTCTGTCCTTCATTGACCTCTGTTATTCCACAGTCATTACCCCCAAAATGCTGGTGAACTTTGTGACAGACAAAAACATCATCTCCCCTGAATGCATGACTCAGCTCTACTTCTTCCTCATTTTTGTTATATCTGAGTGTCACATGTTGGCTGCAATGGCCTATGACCGCTATGTGGCCATCTGTAACCCCCTGCTTTACAATGTCACCATGTCTTATCAAGTCTGTTTCTGTATGGTAAGTGGGGTGTACAGCATAGGCTTTCTTGGTGCCACATCTCATACTCTCTGCATGCTAAGAGTGATTTTCTGCAAGGATAATAAAATAAAACATTATTTCTGTGATATTCTTCCATTGCTGCAGCTCTCCTGTTCTAGTACTTTTATCAATATGGTAGTACTTCTATGCTTCAGTGCTTTTAATTTCTCTATTCCAACCTTAACCATCATGGGTTCTTACATCTTCATCATTGCCAGCATTCTCCGCATTAAATCCACGGAGGGCAGGTTCAAAGCCTTCAGTACCTGCAGCTCCCACTTCTCTGCTGTGGCCGTCTTCTTTGGTTCTCTGGCATTCATGTACTTACAGCCATCATCAGTCAGCTCCAAAGATCAAGGAAAAATGTCATCTGTGCTTTATACTACTGTTGTCCCCATGGTCAACCCCCTGATCTATAGCCTAAGGAATAAGGATGTCAAACTTGCTCTAAATAAGTTGCTTGTAAAACAGAACTTTTTTATGTAGAAGAATATTTTGCTCATTTTCTAAGTGTTTGAGGATTTCATACGTCAGTACTGTATTTATATCATTTCCACCCCTCCCTCAAACAATTCCAACTCTTCCTACATTCCTTCCATTCTCTATCAATTTCTTGAACTCTTCATTATTATTGTTCATATATATATATAAATGTGTGTGTGTGTGGTGTACTGGATAGCTTTAGTTGTCAACTTGACATACCTGGGTAGAGGGACTCTCAACTCAGGAAATAGAAATTCTTCCATTGGATTGGCCTATTGCCATGTCTGTGAGGCATTTTCTTGATGAGTGATGTGGGAGGGCCCAGCCTTTTGTGGGCAGTGCCACCCCTGGGAGGGTGGTCTTGTTTTGTTTGAGAAAACAAGCTGAACATGGTCTGTTCTTCAGCTCCTGCCTCAAGGTTCCTGCCTGAGTTCCTACCTTGGGCTCCTCCAGGGATGAATTGTGACCTGGGAGATGTAAAATAAAATAAATCCTTTCTTCCCCAAGTTGGTTTTGGTCATTTTTTTTTTTATCACAGCAATAGAAAGTAATTAAGAGTATATATTTTGTGTTTTTGTGCTAGAATCTAGTCATCTGAAGCTATGTTATTGATGGTGCTTCTTGGTTTAGATAGCTGATGTCACCTATGTTTAGGCCTGACCAGTTGGGATTGGGCATTAGCAAAATTAGATAATATCTAGAATTTTGAAAAGAAGTCTCTTCTATCTGGCACGGCATTCCCTGCCAAGCACTCTATGTGCATTTCTCATAGGATTTCTAGGGAAGAGACATCAGTGCATGTCCAACCATCCAATCATGGTATTGCTAGTACAAGATTATTTGATTACTAAGACAAAAGATGTCAAGGTTCATTGAACTCAGGTCCAGTCACATGGAGGAAGAAATCCTGGAATCCTTAGTGTTCACCCTCCTGGAGTTAAAGGTAGTAAATGTATACATTTCTTAAGACTCTTTCAAACCTTATTTTTGTGTTTGAAACATGGCTCTTTTAAATGAGATTCACTCACCTAATTTAAGAGAATAAATATTTTTGGCCAGTATGTTATGATATTATCAACATTTTGTGCCCTTCATCTTTTAAAATTGGTGTACTAGCAACCAATTCTAGAAATACGATCTCTCAAATCAACAATTTTAATGAAAGTGACCATATCTGAAATATAGTGATCCCTGCCTCTGCCTCCAAAACAATGGGAGTAAACATGTTGCCACCACATCCCACCTTCTTTCTGTTCTGCATTCTTTCACAAATGTATTCACTTTGGTTACATATTTATATTTAACAGTTAAATCTAGCATATTCTTCTTACTAATGAGATGTACCACACATTCACTAAAACATACTCAACACCTGCAAAATAAAAATTGATATGGCAGGAAGAGACTTCTGACCAAAAATTTATTTTTCTACCCCTCAAGCAATTAAGCTCCTATTAGAGGTCTTGAAAACAGCAAAAAAATATTAGTTTTCCTGGAAAATCACTGCCTCCAGCAGAAAGTTGTAGTATTTTTAGCATCCTGCTTTTGCTCACCTCCGTGTCTTCTCTTCCTGAAGGCAGCAACACCTACACAACTTTTCTCATCTCCCCATAGAAGGACTTCTCAGACACTCCACACCCACTCTATAAAATCTTTATTTATTAAGACATTTTCTTTATAGAATGTTATA